TACGGGTCACTGTGTTTCTCCCAGTCTGTGGACTCTACCTGCCAGATGACCATTTATAACAGGATGGCAGATTAGGGAGTCAAGAGAGCCCTTGGGCTTTTAAGTGGGTCGTCATCCAGCTCCCTCCAACCTCTGATTAACATCTTGAACACGTGAACAAATCAAAGGTTAAAGTTAATTCAGGGACTGTTTTCATTCCTGAAGCAGTTGACAGTCTATATAAACAGAAACAAATCCCACAATCCAAGCAATTGTAACTCTGGGATAGAAGCATCTGAAATGGCAAACTTTGATAAAGTGGAGGTGCTTTCCCCCTTTCCTGACACAGGTCAAGGAAATTTTTTAAACAAAAACAAAACAAAAACACCTCACAGTTCTCCATTCAACACAACACTTCCAACAGCCTGTTAATCGTCAGCTGCAAAAAGAAATTGGCTCGCTGGAGAAAGCTGTGACTGGCTAGCCCACACACTGAACAGTAATTGTTCTATTAAGTAGCAAGGATACATGGCAAAATTTTGCTGCATGTTCCACTTGCCCCCCCTTTTTTTACTGTAAGTTTAGCACATCCCGTCTTCTATCTTTCACTTTTTGCTATGTTGCACAAGTTCATCTCCTGGCTTCTTTGTTCCTTGAGCTGCGTTATGTCTGTAACATTATGTTCCAGTACAACTGAGGAGCAGCAAAACACTGGGCACTGGGCAGTTAAAGCAATTCTCAATCAAAACAGGGTCAGTCAGGGTCAATCAATTCTCAATCAAAACAGGTGTGGTTTAACCCACAGCGCCACCCGCATCCCACACACTTCCAGAGGTAACACTAAATAAGTTACTTCTGGTAAATGAGCCACCATAGCCATTTAGAGGGCCGTAAAAAATTGTGTCCCAGGCTTTTTAGACTCATCTACCCATCTGAAACCAAAGGGGCACATTGGTGGCCAGATGTGAAATATACTGGCATTGTTTTCAACTCTCCTTCTCCACTAAATAGTAGAGTCGACCTTGTTCTTGGTTCACAATTCCAGTTTGCACATGTGAGGGCTCACAATCCACTCCATAAAGAAAACTCAGGGCCTAAAACCATTCTCCCTGGTATTACGCCAAATGTCTGTGAAATAGCTGCCCTATCTCTTCTCAAAGGCAGATGCATTGCTCATGTTTGCACATTATCTCACTAAGGCCAGGGCAGCAGTTTACTGAATCTGGCAGCAACATGCTGTACCGTCCTGCCAGGGTGTCCTTAAGACTCCGTCTCAAGCTCATTGCTCACCTTCCCATAAGACAACCACAGCTGTACAAGCACAACTTACCAGGCGGTTGATTTTGAAAAGGAAGGAAGGAGGAAACATTAGCTAACTCCAATTTCTAGATAATTTGCTATTGCAAGTTAGGACAAGCACTTGAAGTTTCTTTGGGGGGAAAAAACGCTAGGGGGTGAAAGGCATATTTGGAGAGAGGCTAAACAAATGTGGTTTGCTGCCAGAAAGCCCTTCCCTGAGCCCTGGGGCACAACTTGAGGTGTTTTGGCTCACTAGCAATACATGCGAGTAAAAAGGTCTTGACTTTCAGGGTGTGTGTCACTGCTCTGTCCAGCTGCTGAGTAGATTGTTCCTCAGGCACTGGGAGCAGATCCTGCAAGAGATTTATCTCAGGGTTCTTCCTAAAGAGATATAATGTCCAAATAAAACTTCCAGCCTGAGCCCTTCTAGGAAATCTGCACATGCCCAGGTACATCAATCCCTGGTATTTGTCAAAGCAACTGCAGAACAACTTTGAACAGTTCTGCTCACAGACTTGTCATCATGACGGCAAAAGACTTCGAGAATTCAGCTCTTCCTAGGCACAGAAAGCCTGCACTACATGCTGATTTTTTATGTTTTCCTCACCAACTTGAATCTCCTAAGGATTTCTACAGGACATCATGAAATCGTTGATAATGTCAACAGCAGTTTACAAAACCACTTTTTCCTCAGATGTGTGGCAACGCAGGAGCAAAATGGAAAAGTTTGCCACAGGAGTGGATGATAGTGTAGCTATTATAAAAAAAATTAATTAATTAATTAATTAGGTTTACCATAGGTCTTTATTAAGGGCCTCTGAAGGGACTTATAGCGAAGGACTTCTATATAGGTAAAAGAACATACAACTGTCAAACTTCAAACAAATCAGGATGGAAGATAAGAGATATAATTTACACTAAGCGCTATAAAACTACTAAAACAAAGCGCCATCCTCTCAAAGTTATTTCTTTCAGATTAAGAGAAATGCAAATTTAGGAGGACAGCCATGCTGCAGTTCTTTTACATTGTTTCAGAAAGTGTGCATTGGGTAGATTTGCCTTTAAATGGAAACTGAATCAAATTTCACCCTAATCACGATGCACATGATGAGTACAGTTCAAGACAATAATAAACAAATCCACATGGGCACCTAAAGGCGTTTCTTCTCAGTGTCTGCCTACAACCCAGATGAGCAGCATGTTTCCTATTTGTGGCTTGGATCCTCCCTGTCCACTTTCATTCAAGGTCAAATCTTCTGTCGGGACCGCAATTAATGCTTCTTCCAACCAGAAACATGTGTCTTTCTAATCCTGATAGAGCCAAAGTCTCAACCAAGCAATTTTGAGTGGTTTGACAGTACCATAAAGATTAGGGAACATAAGTATTAATAGTGGTGATTCCCAAGAACCAGGATTGTTCCAAAACAGTCCCTTCTTTCCAAATTATGTTTGATCTTTTCAATTGCTCTGCTCCAGCTTAAGTTAAACAATGCTGATAGGTCTCATTTCTCCTTCATGCCTCTGCGTCTAATGGAGTTGTCTGAGCAGTCAAAGCCCAGTTTGCTACAGACTCCAGAAGGAGCTTCAGCTGAAAGATTTATTACTGACCATGCTGACTTTTCCTGACCCAGCTATTGGGCTGTAGCAATCCATTACATGGTAAAGATTAAGTTAAGGAGAGTAAGGGCTGCTCTAATGACAGCGTTGCACCATCTGCAAACAAAGATGGGCTTTGACCTACCCTAATTCCCCTAAAGTTTATTGTTTCTGAAAGAAATGGTTAAGGCAAAAGAATGATTTAGGCCTGTTTGGTATAGGAGTTTGTGCGGTGGTCTTGCACCTGCGAGACAAGGGTTCAAATCCCCACTTGGCCACACAGCTTGAACCACTCACTGTCTCTCGACCTAACCTACCTCACAGGGTTGTTAGGAGGGAAAGGGGGATATATAAAAGTAATAGTAAATAAATTAAAAGAACAGAGACGACAGTGGACAATCACGTCTTGCCCACCTGGTCAGTGAAATTGTTCAGGCTTACTTATGAGCTGAACAATGCCTTTTCTGTAGGAGTTCAATGTCCTTAAATTAGTCCGGTTTCTAAACTGTGTGCCGGCACTGAATGCTTCTGAACATTGAACCAGACAACACACAGGAGATTGTGATTGTCTTAGCCCCCTCCTCTGTTTATAAAGTAGCTGGACTGGAGAGGGGGTCCAGCTTTGGGGGAAAGCTCCCCCTTCTGCCTGCGTCATTTCCTCAATAAAGATACCTGTCTGTTTTCCATCACGGGACAGATACCAGCTTGGGAGGGCGACTTGGATCTGAGAAACAGAGTTGTGCTGGAGGGGAAAGGGTTAAACCTTCTCCCTGTGCCATGGCCCCAAGCTGACTCAGCCTCCTTTTAAACTCCACCTGCTTTTAACTTGGAGAGGGGGAAACATACAGGGAATTAGGAGCAAAGTGTGATTTGAAACACTGTGTATGTTGGGGAGCTGCGCTGGCTGCATTTTAAGCCTCTAATGTGTACCCCAAGTTCTCTTCCTCTAAATGTCAAAGCAACTTTTAAGAGCTCAGAGAAACCGCTGTGAAGGTAGGCGATCTTTGCCTACTCTTTGATTAGTTCCTCTAAAAATAATTCACCTTCCTTAGGTACTATAAGATTTAGTAAGTGGTGTTTAGAACGGGCATTGAAGCATCATGAAACCTTCCCTGCTTCTCTTGCTTGGAAGATGGATGAGCCAGTCTCTTCCTCTCTCTTAAGCTTCTAATTTTGTACTGCAAAGGAACAGTTGGATCTTGAAATGCAGGTGGCCAGTGGAGCTCATTTTTGGTACGCACATGGCTGGCGATGAGAACTGGGTGCAGTCCCAGGAGAAGTACAACGCGCATAGTTCAGGCTTAAAAGCTATGGTTTTCCCAGTAGTGATGTATGGAAGTGAGAGCTGGACCATAAAGAAGGCTGATCGCCGAAGAATTGATGCTTTTGAATTATGGTGCTGGAGGAGACTCTTGAGAGTCCCATGGACTGCAAGAAGATCAAACGTATCCATTCTGAAGGAAATCAGCCCTGAGTGCTCACTGGAAGGACAGATCCTGAAGCTGAGGCTCCAATACTTTGGCCACCTCATGAGAAGAGAAGACTCCCTGGAAAAGACCCTGATGTTGGGAAAGATGGAGGGCACAAGGAGAAGGGGACGACAGAGGACGAGGTGGTTGCACAGTGTTCTCGAAGCTACCAGCATGAGTCTGACCAAACTGCGGGAAGCAGTGGAAGACAGGAGTGCCTGGCGTGCTCTGGTCCATGGGGTCACGAAGAGTCGAACACGACTAAACGACTAAACAACAACAACAAGTGTGAGAGTGGCTCAGTGGTGAAGGAAAAAAAGGCAATCTAAGCGTCCTCAGAGATTCTCTGGCTTGGTAAAGATTCCCCTCGCAGCCCTTTTGTTTACTAGATTTTAATCTCCTCGGGGTTTATCAAGTTACTGTGATAGTTAAGTATTGATAATTAGCTGACTATTGGTTATTAGCTGATAATTTGAGGAAGATGGCATTTTTATTACTGTCCTAGTCGTCTCTTGCTGTTTGTTTGTGTCAGTGAATTGAAAAAAGTGCCCGGAAGATAAATATTCAAGTCTCTCTCTCTCCCCCCCCCCCTTTAAGTGGGTGTAGCTGGTGTTCAAATGAGCCTGGAGGAGGTGGGGCCAGCCAAGATCAACAATACCTGTGAAAGGCATATATTCTCTCCCTCCGCCGGTTTGTGGAATTCCTGGTCGAAGACCTTGACAGTCCTTTGTCCACACACTTCTCGCCATAGGAAGTTCTCTCGGGCTGCTGCTGCAGCACTTCGGGGCTCGGGAGGCGCATCTTCCTGCAGCCACGAGCGCCGCGACGATGCCGCTGAGATGCGCCTTTTTCTCCGGCGCTGCGCTTTTCCTTCTGACGGTAGGGCTGGAGAGGGGTCATGGGTGGTGGGGGTTTGGCTGGCGAAGGGGAGATCGCAGTAGGGGCTTCCGGAGGCTCCACGCTTTGCCTTGTCCAGCCCAAGGAGGAGATCATGCAGCAGCGTCCTGGGATTCAAATATCCCCGTCTCCTTGGAAACCGCCAGGTAGCATCACCTGCTTCTTAAAAATAGTCCCTAGTGCGTCGGGGCGCGCACGGTACTGAACTCCAGGACGCGCTCTGCCCCTGTGCCTTTTTCTCCTCCGGGTCAAGTGAAAGCCACATGCATACAAACGTATATACAATTTTATTTCCCCAGGTTTTTTCGGGTGCTTTTAAGCTCTTTTGGACTGCTGTTGGTCCCCATGGCATATTCAAATTAACTTAATTTGCTCATTTATTCGTCTGTTTTAAAAATATACTCCTAAGGTTATTACAATAATCCTGCCAATGTCAATGTTCTTCTCTGTTTAGTTTGTAAATATTCAACAAACCATTTCCATTCTTTTATAATAAGTTTCTTATCTTGATTTCTTATTTTTCCGGTAAGTTTCGCCATTTCTGCATATTCCATAAGTTTTTGTATCCATTCTTCTTCTTTCCATTTAACGTTCTTGCCACTGTAGTTGCATACATGAATACATTTCTATACAGTTTGGGTAGTCCCATCCCTATAATTCCCAAAAGGAAAGTTTTTGGGTTTGTTTGTTTTTTAAAAACATTATTTTAAAATTCTTTTTCAATTCATTATATATCAATTCCCAGTAAGCTTTTTTAAACCTTACTACTGGTTAATATCATCAGTTGTTTTTCCTTTAGATAAGTGCAATTCAAGTTCTCTCCAGGTCTGATAGTTTCCTAAACAGTTAGTATTCCTCTCATGTAAAGACAAAATTGTTCCAATATCCTTCTAGTGTTTTGAATCTGTTCTACCCCCTTGTTAAATGAATGGGGAGGGGAATAGATCCCTTTTTAAAAGACATCTAATTTTTTCCAAAATACGAGTTGAATTGGAAAGATACCAAATGAGTCTAGAACATAGCAGCTGCTTCCTAAAGCTACAAATCTAGATGTCAAATCTTTTTGCCTTGTGCACATTCTACCATCCCATTGCCCCATGTACTAAAGCTTAGCACATTGTCTCAGCGTTACAAGAAGAATAATGCTGATGGGGGGGGTATTGTTTTTATTTTTATTATGTATTTTGTGGTTTTATATCTTGATCTTATTCTGCGACCCACCCTGAGACTCCCGGATATAGAGCAGTATATAAGTTCAATAAATCAATCAATCTAGGCACACATGCTGGGGAATGTGTTCTCCTGAACTCAATGAGACTAGCTACTGTCAACAGGATTGCACAGTAACAGACCCTTCTTTGGGACCAAGAACTTTTAAGCTATTGGAAAGCGAAGTAGCCAGCAAGCTAAAAGCGATTCTGCACTCTGGTGTTCCGTCATGTTGTTGTTTGCTCTGCTTCTAGCTTGGCACCAGGCATTATGAAAACTTAAATTCCTGAGGTTTCAGTGACGTAACAGCATCAACATTCTGTAAAACAAACTATTCCTTTAAAAATGTCTTGAGAGAAGGAGATTGTACAACTTTGCAGTGCAACATGTTCTACGGTCTTATCAGAATGGATTTCCCCCCACTGTGGTACAGTTCAGTCATAAGCTGCTAGAACCTAATGAATTGCCTTTATTTTTATGTAGCTGGCTGCCCATTCTTCTTCTTCTTGATATTAGTTTATCCCACACTCCCTCCAGAGAGATCAGGACTGCATGCATAGTTCCCCTCAAATTTACAACAAGATAGGTTGGGCTAAGTTGGAGATAGCAAGCATTCCAAGGAGAAATCAACCAGTTTGTTTCATAGCTGAGCAGAAATACGAATATAGGACTTCCTGATCCAAGTCTGACATTTTGTCTACAGTTATTCGCAGCCTAAAGGGAACTGGCTAGAATAGAGTCAACCAGGTGGATTTCAATCTCTCTTCCAACCTTTTATGTTTTATTTACAAATAATTCTACCTGAAGGAAACTTCATTTTGTCCCAAATCCCACTTTAAGAAGAATTCTTCAACACCCCACCTCAGAACACATGTAAAGCTCTCATTAACTTCTAGAGCCATTTTCTTAAGTATTAGTAGTTTTGGTTTCTTTTGAAACCCTGCTGATAATTTATTGAAGCAATCTCATGTTTCCAGCACTGAGCAGCCCCTCCAAGCTTTTGTGGTGAAAGGATTGCTATTGAGCAGAGGGCTTTGTTTTTGTTACAAGAGATTAAGTGCATGCCTGCTGCAAAAAGGAAAACCGAAGAACTGTTCCAGAACATGCCCCAATAGTCAACAGAAAGTTATTACAACTGAAGTGTGATATGCCCCAGTTAATGTGAATAGCACATGTCTTATTTCACAATTCCTAGGCTGATCTTCTTTCTTGGTTGAGGGAAGAAAAGGATACAGGCATCAGTGAGAATAGAACTTGGTTTAAACACTTCTTGTCCTTGCATACAAATTCTTCCCCCCGTTGTTCTTTCATGTTTACTCTTTCTTCGTTTTCATCATTTTGACATTATTTCAGTTTGAATGAACTCTGTATTCTAGCTGCTATGTAGGTATGTGAAGGCAGATGACTTCAAGGATTTGTTTTTTCATAAATGTTTGGATTGATAAATTGAAAATATCCTTTGGCTTCAGTTCCCAAAGATGGTTGGGTTTATATTTCTCCTTAGCCACAAACTTGGTAGCTGACCTTAAGCAAGTCACTGAGTGCATTCAGACATTGTGCTAAACGATGGCTTGGTATGTCCTGTGTGGAACATTAGGTGAAAGAAGCATGCGTATATTTACCATGCTAGGCATTACTTTTCATTTCTGATGTCTAATCACTGAAAACATTAAGGAGTTTTTGCATATTTCAGTCAATTCCAGGAACACCTGTATCAAAACCTCCCTGGCTACCTTTTCTCTAAGCTGAAAATATCCTGTGTTTTGCTTATCTTATCAGTTTGTTTGAGAAGTGATCAGCTCAGTCGTCCAAGAACTGCTGCACCAGTATATCATAATATTTGCATATGTTTGTTCAAGTATTGTCTCATCTGCCTTGAGTTAGCATTGCCTTCTCCAAGGACTACAACTTGCAGCATAAGTAACCAGCACAAACATCTGGGAGGGTTACCGGGTTGGGCAAGGCTGGGTTGGAACATCCTTGAATTGTAGAATCTGAACAAGAGAAATGTTGGGGGTGGGGTTAGCCTGAAGGTACATTGTGTTTGGAACTGCTACATTTGCTGGTACATTGGGATAAAATTGCAGATGTTGGTTAATGAAACCAAAATTTGATTGAGTCTAGACTTCGGGAGTCAGTTGAGTATTTCCATTACTTATAAGTGCTGGTTGTGATCCAGCCAAAGTTGAGCACTTTACGTTCCTGCTGAAATCATAGGCGTACTTACCATAGTCTGATTTGTACCCATTCTTACAGATGGTGGAAAAACCTTGTTGATACTGAATTTTCTTATGCATCAATATCTAGGAATAATACTTTTTATATTGCTGTTCAATATAGAGTTATCAGGGTAGTTTACGGCTGTTAAAAATAAAATAAGAATGCACCAGAACACTAGCAAAATTGTAAAGGTACAGGGTAAAAGCAGTAGTAAACAATCATGATTCAAATTCCTGCACGTGGCAAAAGTCTGGGGAAATAAAAAGGTTTTCATGTGGCGCTGAAAAGTGATTAAGGGTGGCAATCCTATACCCACTTACATGGAAGTAAGTCCCATCAAATTCAGTAGGGTTTACTTCTGGATAGGATTATTCTGTGACGTAGGGGGCAGGTGAGCCTATCTGGGGTGAAACTTCTCTAAGTGGGGTTTCACAAAAGAGCAGGTCTTATCCCTGTTGTCCACTTGACTCATCTCAAATAGCAGGGAAAGACAAGCAGCTGCAGCTCTGAATACTGCCTCAGTGCCCAGGAAAGTTGGTGTGGAATTAGACATTTCTTCAGGTCCCAAGCTGTGTAGGGCTTTAAAAGTAAATCCTGGCACTCAGAAGCATTCCAGCTCCTTAAGCACAGGTAAGATATAATCCGATGCACGGTCCCAGTTAGTTGCTTTGTGCTTGCTTTCCTTACTAACCTTTTGCAATCTGGTGCCCTTCAGATGTTCTTGGACTACAATTCCCATCAGCCACAGCCAACATGGCCTTGCTGGCTGGGGATGATGGGAGTTGTAGTCCAAAACATCTGGAGGGCACCAGGTCAGGGAAGGCTGTTCTATATTAAATGCATTTTCTGCACAGTCCTTAAACAGGGAAGTCATAGAGGAAGCCTTATTGAGTAATTAACTGTTGAGTAGAGAAGCCCAGAGAAATTTGACGCAGACACCTTGGAGATCAACCATGATATAACAGGTTCAGCAACGTTTCTGTGCTTGGCCAGATACAGTTGATTGCAAATGACAGTTACGTTATAGTTGGGTATAATCCTTAGGAAAACAGCTACAGTTCTGAGTAAGTTTGTTGCATCAAGGCAGATGACACAGAACAGGGAAAGCTGGTGACCTCTACAGAGTTGACTCATTTTTTGTTCAGTTTTTCAGGTGAATGGAAGGGCAACATTTTGCATAAATGTTCAGGGCTGGGGTGAATAAAATAGGTTGGTGCTTGTTGGCATTTATTGCCTGGTTGAGGAACATGGGAAGTCACTGCCAGGGCGTGGAAAGAGATTATGGGACATTATAGCATTATAAGCACCCTTGAATTTTGAAGCCTCTGTGGCCACAACAGCCTCAATCACCCAGTGAAAACATCACATTCCTAACAAAGCCAGATCTTTAATTGAAGAATGCATTCATTACAGATGTCAAAGTTGCCTGGCTTTTCAGGGTGTGATACTGCGGGTAGCATGACTTTGCCAGTGCAACATCCTTCTTACTCTTGCCCTTTTCTCCATCTGTTAAGGTTCTTGCCATCAACAGCTTCTACCATGCCCTGGGAGATGACTGCAGTCTAAGGAAGACCATCTACAAGAGAAGCAGCCAGGTGGGGACTCGGTTAAGTTCTCCAGTAGATAACATTAAAAACCAGATAGATATTATCTGCAAATCTCTCTCTCTCTCTCTTGTTTTACAATGGCTTGTGCGTCTGTTGATGGGGGAGGATAATTGAATCTGGATCTATATTTTGATGAGGCTGGACAGATTTTAGATTCTGAGTCCTTAAGAAGTTATGTACATACATATCCATCTACTTATGGCATGTGTGAGGGACGCGGGTAGCGCTGTGGGTTAAACCACAAAGCCTAGGACTTGCTGATCAGAAGGTCAGCGGTTCGAATCCCCGCGACGGGGTGAGCTCCCGTTGCTCGGTCCCTGCTCCTGCCAACCTAGCAGTTTAAAAGCACGTCAAAGTGCAAGTAGATAAATAGGAACCACTTCGACGGGAAGGTAAACGGTGTTTCCGTGCACTGCTCTGGTTCTCCAGAAGCGGCTTAGTCATGCTGGCCACATGACCCGGAAGCTATACGCCGGCTTCCTCGGCCAATAAAGCGAGATGAGCACCGCAACCCCAGAGTCAGCCACGACTGGACCTAATGGTCAGGGGCCCTTTACCTTTACCTATGGCATGTGTATGAAAGTCCCACTACAGGTCAATGAACAAAGGAGGAAGCTTATCTTCTGTTACTGAACTTACCAGTGTGGGGCCGAAGGATATATTTGGAACATTATTTTAAACTCCCTATATTTTAATGTTTGTTTTGAAAAAGAGGCACCTGCTACAGTGATACACATAGGTGGTTGTAACATAAGTGCGCTCTTTTCACTCCCAGGATCTGAAGCTGCTCGACAGTCTTCGTCCTTTGCGTCGCACCAAAAGGAGATGGGTTATTACCACCCTAGAACTTGAGGAGGAAGACAAAGGGCCATTCCCAAAACGTGTCGGAGAGGTAAAAGCCAATGTGTAACGTGTTGGAAAGCCTTGCATATTTATTTATTTATTTATTTAAATAATATTTATTGCTTTTATACCTTACAAAAAGAAAAAAGAGAAAAGAAAAAAGAAAAGAAGAGGGGAAAAAAACAAAAGAGAAAACAATACAATACAATATATAAACAATACAGAACGCAACATTAACATTAACACATTAAACAAAACAAAAGCGAAAACAATTCAAAAAAACACACATCGTACCATCTCAATATCCTCTCTTTCATTCCCTTGTTTCATCGACCTCCTCTCACCTCCCTTTTTGTATTCCATTTCTATTAATTGTTTCAGCAAATCCTTTCCATCTTTCTCTATTTTCTGTCATGTAATTATCTTAACATATTTTAACCTTATTTTCCATTAATACTATAATACTTATTTATACTTAATTCCTTAAAATATTTCTACTAAAGCCATATAATTCCCTTCCAACATTTTCCTAACACTCATTAATTTTACATTATTTCCATATATAGGTTTTAAACTTTTTCCAATATTCTTTCACCGTCTCTTCTCCCTGGTCTCGGGTTCTGCCAGTCATTTCCGTCAATTCCAAATAGCCCATCAACCTGGTGATCTTCTGTCCGAGGCTCTTAACACTTTTCCAGGTCCCTTCTGCAAGTCTTCTTCATATTTATACATGCACTTCACTTTGTCTTCTCCTGATCTTGTTCTTATTTTCCTTCCTTTGATGCTGAAAAATAGATCTCCGGGAAATTCCCATCTAGCAATGTTTTTATTCCTTCTCGACAAGTCAGCCAAATCTCCATAATTAAAACTGAAATTCAAAAGATATTTCCAGTCGTGTTCCAAAGTTCCTCCAAATCTGGCAGTCCCCACAACTCCAGTCTCCTTCTGACCCAAGTCCCGGTCCCAAAGGTCAATCTCCAGTCCAAGCGGGGCTCCAATCCTAAAAGTCTGACTTTCTCTGAATTCAGTCTTGGAAGGCATCAACTTATAATTATCAAATTGCAACTGTAAGGCTGGAGCTCTCTGCCTCACCACTTGTGCCACTTTAGGTTCCACCGCAAAAACTTTCTCCCCCGCCTTCTCCTCAATTTGCCATGTCAAAATAGATCCCTGTATCGATTCCTGAATAATTTCTGTATTAATATTGACTTTTTGTGCCAAATTAGTCACTTTTTGTTCCAAGTTATCAATTTTTATAGTCCTCACATCCGTCTTCTTATAAAGCTGTTCCAGTGAATGCATTGTTCCAAAATGCAACCACTAAGGCTTCTTCTGTCAACATTCTTAACGAATCAAGGTCAATCCCAGATTCTCACAGTTTTATCTTGCAGGTGGAAAATTCCCCCAGCTCAGCTCTTGTAACAATTTCAAAGGCTTCCTCTAGGGGGAAACAATTTCTATTTGTATCAGTCATTTTAAGCACAGTTCAAACAATAAAGTTAGTTTCAATTTTCAGTTACTTTTACTCCTTTTTAAACGCAGAAGGAGACAATGGAAACAATGTATTTCTCTTCTTTAACTTACTGTCAGCAGACAATCTATTCACAGTCAATGAGCATATCCTAAACTTCAATGCTTACTAGCAGCCTGTTTCCAGGTTCAGAGCGGTGGTAATTTGACTTTCTTCACTCTCTCCTGCAGGCTTACACGATCTTAAATCTCCCCCCTCTTCTCCTGCTTCCAAGGGGGGTTTGATGATTTAACCGATGGAAGTTTAATCCTTTATGAGAGACTTTCCAAGGCTTTAGCTTGCAGCCTCTTTGCTTCAATCTATTTACAAAAGGGGGAGGCGGACTTCCTGTTTGAAACCTCCCCGTTTCAGTGCCAAATTAAGACGTTTAAAAATCCAATTTTCCGTTCTACTCACAGGTAGTTGTTTTAAGATCAAATTGTCCACAGGAAAAAGTCAGCGCTCTCCTGCAACAGCAATGCGGCTTCACTCCGTGAAAGAAGCAGTCGATTCAAAGCACTGTGCCACTCACCCCACGTCGCTCCGGATCCCCGAAACCGGGTTTCCCCACGAGTAGGGGAGGCGCAAAAGGTGCCAGCTGAATCCCACGTCCACAAGCTTCTCCCGCCTGTGGTTTTTAGTGGGTCTCCGCCTTCGCCGTGGCGGCCAGACCCTGATTTCCATGGAGCGGATTCCTCCCGATCAGAGGAATTCCGCCATTGCCGGAGGCGCTAACCCGGAAGTCTCAAGCCTTGCATATTTATAGTCTAGTTTTTTGTGTTTCTGGCTGTGTTCCCCAAGGGCAATTTGCATCTGAGTCAAGCCTTCAGCAGCTTGTGCCGTGATACGTTTGCTCATGTGTTGCAGGAAGAACAGCCGAGAACATTTTGTGTGCACCTTAAAGTGTGTGCATGTTGGGAGTTTCTTCTGCCTGAGGGCCATATTTGCCCTTTGTCAACCCTTCAGGGAACACATGCAGGTGGGGATATGGTCTAAAGTGGACATAGACACCTTCTTGAGAGCCAGTGTGGTGTAGGGGTTAAGAGCGATAGACTTGTAATCTGGGGAACCGGGTTCGCGTCTCCGCTCCTCCACATGCAGCTGCTGGGTGACCTTGGGCCAGTCACACTTCTTTGAAGTCTCTCAGCCCCACTCACCTCACAGAGTGTTTGTTGTGGGGGAGGAAGGGAAAGGAGAATGTTAGCCGCTTGAAGACTCCTTCGGGTAGTGATAAAGTGGGATATCAAATCCAAACTCTTCTTCTTCTAATTCTCTGGCCACATCTGCACCCTACATTCGAAGCATCCTGATCACATAGGATCACAGGAACTGTAGTTTAAGGGTGCTGAAAGCTGTTAGGAGACTCCTGTGCTCTGAGTTACAGTTTCCAGAGTACCCTGGGAAGAGGAATTGACTGTTAAACCACTCAGGAAATTGTAGCCCAGTGAGGGGGAAGCCATGACTGCTACATGCAAGGTGCAGATGTGGCCATTCTCAGATGCACACCACATGCCCACAGGTTCACAGCTTCCCCACATCTGATCCTTGTAGATAAGCTGAGAAGACGGCTAGTACCCCATCCCAAATCATTAGATCAATCATCTGAAGTGTGGGGAGGGAGTGGCCCTCATCTCCTAGGCCGGGCAGAGAAGTTGTAAGTTTTCCTGCCAAGGTCACAGTGTGGAAAAAAAGCATGATGGCTCTCCTGGACTCTTCATGTCCCCCCCACAATGCCTCTTTCCCGTGCCAGCCCCCAGGCAGTGCTGCAAGAGCTGCAATTTTTAAAATGTTGAGTGCCTTAGAATTGCTTTTAAATAAATGGATATTGGGTATGGGGCTGGTGAATCACCACCTTAGAGATGACCAAGAGTATCTGCACCCCACCCCCTGGAAGAATGTCAGTTGGAGTTACTAGGAAGTCTCCAAACCAAGGAAGACTTGGTTTGGCAAGTCTCTAAGTCCCCCCTTTCATGCTTGTCACATGGATGACAGGCCCCATTGACGCCTAATGCAGGAGGAAGCTACAATTGGAAATTTCAAGCTCGTGCATGTTTATAATCTTCATCTTTAAATAAAAGCGTCACTGGCAATGTTTACTTACCTTCTGGGACAATTTTTTTGTCTCCTCCCCACAAAACACACACACACAGTCTCTGGCACTTTCTTTAAAATATATTTTAGGAGGCAATTTTTTAAAGCACTTTAGAAAATTCAGTTGTAACGGAGCAATGAAGTAGCATATATAATTGCATCTCTTAGTCTGTGCCACTTAATTTTTTTTAAAAAAATAGTTTCTATTAAGTTTTCAAGTTATACATCTCAAAATATGCATTTTACACAATACTATATATCCATCGACTGCCCTCCTTCTCCTTCCCATGGTTCATTTCACTTGTCTATCATTCCTGCATATTTTACTGTAACCATTTTACTCAGCTCCCCAATTTAAATCATTCAAATATTAATCACACTGTTGAATTTATCTTAATGCTGCCAGCGTCTTCAGCTGTGCACAGTTGTTTTACAAATACTCAGCAAATATTTTCCACTCCTCTTTAAATAGATACTCTTTTTGCTCTATTTTTCATGTGTTAAACCTGCTGGTTCTGCAAATTATATCATGTGTTACACCTGCTGGTTCTGCCAGTGCTCCTTACTTGGGACCTCCCTTGCTTTCCATCTTTGGGCTAACAAAACTCTAGCTGTCGTTGTTGCAAATATAAATAATTTTTTAAATTTGTAAGTTCTATGCCTGACTTCTATACTTTTGATTTCCCTGTTTCCCCTTATATTCTGAAGTAATATTTCCAACAGCAAAATAAACAACAGTGGAGATAAAGGGCAGCCTTGTCTATTCCCTTTTCTTATTTGGCATTTGTCTGAGAGATTATTATTTACTAATATACTTGCAGATTGGTCATTATAATTGCATGTACTCTCTTACAATAAAAGGACTGACTGTTGTGTGTCACCAAACTGTAACTCTTGGGATTTTGTGTGTGTTAAATATGCGCCTTGAGGATTTCATTGCAATGGCATTGGCATCACTAAAACATCTGTGAGATGGCACAAGAATTAAGGGTGGGAAACTTTTCCTTAAGAATCATGCTGCTGATGGTGATAAATACTATTATTATTTATTATTTTAAAAAAAAACACAAAAAATCTACATTAGGGGTGGATCAACACACAGGACCCCCCCCCCCGCTATAAATAAGTCAGAAATTAAATTGTTATAACAAAAGAAGAAGAAAAATGCTCTGGAAAATCGCTTAGAATTTTTTTCTTGCTCTCTGGGGCCATCTGGTGTTGCATGTTTATAATACATTCAAAAAGGTGGTTTTTTGACTAATGTAGCTGAGTCCCTAGGATTATCAGAATAGTAAAATGTAGAAGAATCTTGCCATTAAAATATTACTCTGCTGATAAGATTAACCTTTAAACGACAGCCTGTTTTGCTTTGTAGCTCTTTAATGATGTATCACGCAAGCGTGATATAAATGTGAAATATTTAATCAGTGGACCTGGTGTGGATGAATATCCAGAGCCTGGACTGTTTTCTATCGAGGATGATGTGAATGGACATGTATCTGTGCACCGTTCCATTGATCGAGAGAGAAACCCTTCTTTCACGGTATTTACTTTACTTTAAACCTTTTTTTCTTTTTTAGAAGTCCATAGAACACATGAGCCAGTCGCTAATTTAATTTTCTTGCTGATTATCCATCGTTCAGATACGTTTTGATGTTGCGGATAGGACGACGAATGAAATAGTGGATAAATCTTTACTCTTCAATGTTAAAATCAAGGATATAAATGATAATGCGCCTGAGTTTTCTAAAAAGGAATTTAACATCACAATGAAAGAAAACCACAACAGAAGTGAGTATCCTGGATACTGTTGATAGCTTCGCTGCATATGGTCCTTGTCAAGGACAGGGTTGCTCAAACTTTCTACTCTCAGGACCCACCTGAGATAGCTGCAGAATACTGAAGCCAACCCGTCACAAAATGACAGAGCAGTGGCAGAGCCAGTCACAAAATGGTAGCCAGTGCAGACAGACTTTGGCATAATCAGCTGGCAATTACTGAGATCATTTTCTATTGCTATTTAATCCATCTTTGGACACTGCCAACCTCTTTGGCACAGACAGCATTTTCTTTAGGGCTCAGCTTTCCTTAAGTTAAGTACAGAAATTTGATCTGGAGTTATTTTGACTCGGTCTTCCCATTTTAGGAAGAATTTGCGGACCCAGAGGATCCAAGTAAAGAAGGCTTTTTATTTTATATTGTTCCTTTTCCCACCCCATGTGCCTCGAGCATTTTTACTCATCTCCTATAATTTCTTCTCCCATTTCCCTTTCATCCCTTCTCTGGTCCTTTTACATTCACTTCCTCCTCCTATAGCAGCTTTCATCTTTCTTATCCTCTATCTATCCATCTCATTTATCACCGTCATCACACCCTTTGTCCTACTGTCTAATTTTGTTCAATACCTCCTCTGCCCCATTTTCCTCAGAAGTGGAAGACTTTCCTTTCTTCTCCACTCCACTTTTGCACCTCTCTGCTTCTCAGCCACCTTTACTCAGGATGGAGTTGCTGGCATTGGTGGAGCCTAAAGTCTATGGCATGGCTAGGGGTTGCAGCAGGCAAACAAGAAGGCACTGAGCAGGCAGTGGCAAAAGCTGTTGGCTTTGCTCTGAATCTGGTAACAAATTTGCCCCCATGGGGAGATTGCCAAGAGGTGGGCTCTTCTGGTCAACTATACAAGGGCCAAGAATGGAAGTACAGTCGTACCTTTGAACAAAATCCGTTCCTGAAGTCTGTTCGACTTCCAAAACATTCACAATTCAAGACGCGGCTTCCGATTGGCTGCAGGAAGCTCCTACAACCAATCGGAACCCATGTCGGATGTTTGGATTCCAAGGAACGTTCACAAACCGGAACACTCACTTCTGGGTTTGTGGCTTTTGGGAGCCAAAACATTCGAGTCGCAAAGCGTTTGACTTTCAAGGTACGACTGTATAGTAAAGACACACTATAAAGGTAAAGGGACCCCTGACCATTAGGTCCAGTCGTGGCCGACTCTGGAGTTGCGGTGCTCATCTCGCTTTATTGGCCGAGGGAGCCAGCGTACAGCTTCCGGGTCATGTGGCCAGCATGACTAAGCTGCTTCTGGCTAACCAGAGCAGCACATGGAAACATCGTTTACCTTCCCGCCCGTACCTATTTATCTAATCGCATTTTGACGTGCTTCCGAACTGCTAGGTTGGCAGGAGCAGGGACCGAGCAATGGGAGATCACCCCGTCATGGGGATTTGATCCGCCAGCCTTCTGATTGGCAAGTCCTAGGCTCTGTATTATTCCCTTGCTATAAACACTGTACCTTCCCCAATCATAGATGAACCAGTGTTCAATGCCACGGCCTATGACAAGGATGAAGAAGGCACTCCTAATTCTCTAGTGGAGCATTCTTTGGTTTTGCAGACACCTCGTACAAAAGAACCTATCTTCACCATTGATCCTTCAAGTGGCCTGATTCGTGTCACGGGATGCTCAGATTATCAGGTATAGAACTTGTAAATACATTTTGTCTTCTTAAGCTCTGCCCCCCCCCTTTTCGGCATGTATACACTTGTGAAAATAATTTTGCCTTCAGTATGTCACTCTTTAAATCCATTGCCCTAGTATTTCCTCTACAAATTGCCTTTCAGCAGCCTAATCTTTGTAAAAAAATATCCCATGCAAGGCAAACAAATGCAGTGTAAACAAATGGGCCATCATTGTTGGTGTTGGGTCAGGGAGAACTGGCTCAGCCTGATCCACTTAGCAATGAGTCACTGAGTGACCTTTTGCCTTCACTTTGCTCCAGTAGCAGATGGGTGGTGGTGGTGCAGTGGAGCTTACCTGACCACCTGATACTGAGCTGCTGCTTATTGGGAGGAAAAATGGAGGTGCTGGGGAGGTCAACATGGTGCAAATGCATCAGCATGCTCCTATTGCTGCATTTGCAGTGTGGGGGCTTCCCCAGAGCTCTGCCCTTCCCAGGAAGCAGCAGTGACTCAACAGTTGGGAGGTCAGGTACGTGCCACCTCCTCAACATACCATCCGTTACTGCTGTGTCCTACATCACTGGTGCTGAGAGAATGAGATGAGAGATGGGGTCTAAAGGCCATATTTATACAGAATTACGGTCCTGTGCAAATTACACCATGGAGCAAAAACATTTGAATTTACCCAAGGCCATGGACCTCAAAACTCATCTTTAAAGGCAGTCTCAGTTGTGGCCACACAACATGCATGGGGGAAAAAATTGAATAAAGCTAATAGGTATCTTTGCAGCAGAATCAATCCAAAGTTTCTGGTGGTTAATTGTGGCCATTTCAGGAAAGCTGGATTCTAACTTGGTCAGTCAGACCACGGGCCTTACGTTTTGCAAATGCATCTTTCCTCTTTGGAAAGTTTGCATGGCTTTGGAGTTAATGAATTCACACCAATATCATCTCGGACATATGGAGAGTGATGATGTTTTCATATTTTAACGTTTTCAAGGAGACCTCGGCTTTCAGACTTCTGGTCAAAGCTACAGACCATGGGAATCCACGGCTGTCATCAACAGCAACCATTAATATTGCTGTGGAAGATTCAAACAACAACGCACCACTGCTTGCTAAAGGAACTGTAAGGACATATTGCTTGAGCGCTATTGTCAGGGTGGGAGAGAGTTTTCCAGGTCCCAGTTATGAAGTCAAAAGATTTGCCTTTTTCAGGGCCCACTTTAAGGCATTGTTTTCCATCAGTGCTGACAGCCCTGCAGGTATACAGCCTAATCAGAATGCTACTGCAAATTCCTCAAAAATGTAATTATTTGGACTCTCTTTTATTGTTTGAATCAGATTCATCCTGGTTCTTGGATATGCTTAAGTCATGCCCAGCTTTTCCCTGACCTCTAAGATGGGGCTCTGTCATTACTGAGTCTATTTTTGTATGCCGCTTGGAGAATCTAAAATATGAAGATTAGAAATGCTTCAAAATAAGTAATAAACATGCAAATGCCAAGTTGTGTACAGGGGTCAGCGGCATGTATACAAGCCCTGCTTCTGAAGTCATTCTGCATGTCATTGCCCGTGCGCTGACTTTCCCTAGTGTTGTGCCAGGAATTCAAGAATAGAACTCTCTGCATAACTGAGGACCACACTTTATCAATGCAACTTCTGCCTGCACAGTCCAATCCTGGGGGCAGATTTAATTAAATAGTTGCACAAGCAGGAACAACAACAACAACAACAACTTTATTTATACCCCGCCCTTCTGGCTAGGTTTCACCAGCCACTATGGGCAGCTCCCCAAAAAATATTACAACCACGATAAAACATCAAACATTAAAAACTTCCCTAAACAGGGCTGCCTTCAGATGTCTTCTAAAAGTCAGTTAGTTATTTCCTTGACATCTGATGGGAAGGCGCCACTGCCAAGAAGGCCCTATGTCTGGTTCCCTGTAACCTCACTTCTCACAGTGAGGGAACCACCAGAAGGCCCTCAGAGCTGGACCTCAGTGTCCGGGCTGAACGATGGGGGTGGAGACGCATTATAACATGTCCCACTTCTACAGTGGGTTTTTCCCCCTGTCTCCACTTCCTATGCCTCAAAACAGCACACAGTGGGAAGATAGGGGAAATCATTTTACCAGGCAAGCAGGATTTCCTTGTGCATACAGAGGAACCTCCTTAGCAGTCCACTCCACCCTGGGTTATGTATCTTGGTCACATTGCAGTGTGACAGAAAATGGGAGGAAATGTTTGGAGCTGTCTTTTGTTCACTGAGATGCCCTATCTGTGTCTTCCAAGCATTATCTGAACATCCCAGAAGGCAAAACAGAACATGGCATCCTTCGCCTCCAGGTGGAAGATAAAGATTCACCCAACACACCTGCTTGGAGAGCCAAGTATAAGATACTGGGAGGAGATGATACAGAGAATTTCAGCATTGAGACAGATCCTGATACCAATGAAGGGGTTTTAAGCATCACAAAGGTAACGTAGATGGACGAAGCTATTGATAGGTTTTGAAGAATTATTCCAAGCATAGAACTTTTATCAAGATTTGGCTAGCAGCACGTCATCATTTACAGCCCCCCACCCCACCCTACTGGTTCTTACTAATGGGAGATTGTGATTTTGTGGTTGCTCTGCATCTTTTATTTTCAGCCTTTGGTTTACGACAAACATAACAAGAGGAGACTCGTGATTTCTGTGGAAAACGAAGAGCCCTTCTTTATCTGTGAAGGCGGTCAGGTGCGGAGTTCTCCAGGCAACCAAGAAGCATATGTGAACATAAACATCATTGATGAGAACGACGCTCCTCAGTTCCATCCTCCTGCTCTTGTTCTTTGGAAAGAGGAAGGGATGATCCCTGGGAACACGATTGCACATTACACAGCCAAGGATCCAGACACAACACCACACATCATAAGGTGGGGAAGATCTGCTGGTCATTCTTGTACGCATGTCCCATATGAATGGGTCTTCCAAAGGAGCTTGCTTAGGGGTCCACTTCAGAGAGAGTGAGGAGGAATAGATTCAAGAACCCAAGAGCACAGGGAGTCATTGAACATTACACTTTGCCCAATCAAGTGTCCCATGACCGCCATTTTGCCAAGTGTGGTGTAGTGGTTAAGAGCAGTAGACTCGTAATCTGGTGAACCGGGTTCGATTCCCCGCTCCTCCACATGCAGCTGCTGGGTGACCTTGGGCTAGTCACACTTCTCTGAAGTCTTTCAGCCTCACTCACCTCACAAAGTGTTTGTTGTGGGGGAGGAAGGGAAAGGAGATTGTTAGCTGCTTTGAGACTCCCTAGGTTAGTGATAAAGTGGGGTATCAAATCCAAACTCTTCTTCTTCTTCCTTTAAGCATGAGTAGTCTACCTGTTTGAGTGCTGTGTCAAAACGTTTCTTCCGATTTTTCACATGTTTCATTCCCCTGTGAAATTTGCTTCTGTTGTCCTGCTTCATTCATGGAGCACTTTAAAAATGTCCTTAACGTTAAAAATAAATAAATTTGGACCTTACGTTATTGTTGCGAGGTGACCATGGGTAGTGTGTATGTGGTCACCATGCTCCCAAATTAAAAATATATTTGCAGAACAGTATACTTACCTGGCTGCCTATGCTTCCTGATCTGAAAAGAAGTCTCATGGGTGGAGTTACAACACGGGAGCATCAGCATCAGGATGTCTTCCCCTAGGGCAGGCATAGGCAAACTCCGGCCCTCCAGATGTTTGGGGCTGCAATTCCTATCATCCCTGACCTCTGGTCCTGTTAGCTAGGGATGATGGGAATTTTAGTCCCCAAACATCTGGAGAGCCAGAGTTTGCTTATGCCTGCCCTAGGGTATCATAGAAGTGGGAGAAACTGTGGGAGAATGGTTGCCACATGACTGAGATTGTTGCACACTCTGATTTTTGTTTCTGTAGCAATTGCAGTGTTTTTACTTTCAAAGAAGTTTTCTTTTCAAGAAAATGATAAACTGCTCTCTGGTGCATGGCAAACAGCCTCCCTGCCTTCCATCTCTTATAGGAAAGCCTAGCTGTGGAAACCATGGGGATTTTAGGAGGCATAGCGCCCAGGAAGGCTGCAGTATGCAGACTACTGGAGAATGGATACATTTTCTCTCCACGGCTGTTTGTTTTTCACCTAATACTATGCTATTCATCTTGCTGTCTGCTATTTAACATAGTTTACACAATTATTCCTGCCCTTTTATTTATTTATTTATTAAATTTGTATACCGCCAGTCACCCAAAGATCATAGGGCAGTTCACAACATAGAAATACAAAATGGGGACTTGCGTACTTCACAAATTTAACATAATTAGTAACATTTTCACGCCATGCATTTCAATGTAAAGGAAATGTCAAAACCATGCAAATAAACCCCACCAAAAATTATGTATTGGTTGTAAGATTAAATAAAGACCCCCAAGAATTATGTGAGCGAATAGCCACTGTATTTGCTAGATCGAGTTCTGCGCTGGACCTGGGACAAAAACGCGAGTGGCAACAGTTTTTGCTACTGCTTCAGGCTGAATTCCCTGACACCCCTATTTGCAAAACCCTGGAGCCATTTTGGAAGTAATGTCAATGCAACCAAAGCCTTCCACTCCCCCATGAGAATTTTACAGAAACTCTTCTTTCCACCTGACTTTTTTTTTATATGAGTGCAGTTTCTTTTTCTTTTCACTGTTGGAGAATGGTTGGAAAAGGAAGTGGAAGGAAATGTTCAGCACAGCACTAAGTAAACCCTTGATTTCCAGTCCTTTGGAGGGTTGGAAAGCAAACCCTGCCTGATAGCTACTCTGGAGCCTTCATCGCTCATTTAAAAATAAAACCTTTGATTTCCTCTTTAAGGTACAAAGTAGTTTCTGACCCAGCTGGCTGGGTGACTGTTGACGAACACTCGGGGACCGTGACAAATGTGAAAACACTAGATAGAGAATCTCCCCACGTGAACAACAGTGTATACACCATTGTGATTCACGCCATTGACGACGGTAAGTAGCTTCTCAGACAATAACGGTGCAAGATGCAAAGTGTCCCAAGGCAGCTCTGGTTTAGCACCTAACACTCAGCTTTGAATATTTCCGGGCAGAAAATGAAAGCAACAGAATTATCCTGTGATGTCTAAAAATCATAGCTGTCAACTTACAGATTTGAAAATAAGGGATCAGCAGCCAAAATAAGGGATCAACAATTACTTTGATAAAATACATATTTTGTTGCATGCAAATGGCTTTAGATACCTATTAGGTCCATAAATTACCATATAGCATATATTCAACAACAAAAAAAACAGCAACAATTTGTTGTTGACAAAGGACAGCTGGACATGGAAAGGGCCCCATTATATTCAGTAGCTTATTTAAGGGACATCATCAATAAGGGACAGCAGCGGGACATGGCACTGGGAAAAGGGACTGTCATGCCAAATAAGGGACGCTTGACAGCTATGCTAAAAATGTTGAGAAGCTGTCTTAAAAATGCTTCCCAGTCATAGAGCCGTTTCTTGGGCCCCTGTGTGAACTCTGACCTAGATGATCCTTTCTTGCCTTGAGAGTTTGCAAAACAGGTCCAGCTTGAATGATGTGGATGACCTGACATTTGCAACAGAGAAATACAGTGTGGGAAGCGTTTGCTGAGGAGGTCAGATGCCAAAAGCCAGTGGGTGAAATCCATTTCTCATTCTGTGCGTTCCTTCCTGCTTTGTAATATTTGCCCTCCCTCTCTTTTTTTAGCATTGTGCTCATTTGTTCCCCCTATTAGGTGTTCCACCACAAACTGGCACAGGCACTATCCAACTTCACCTCTCTGACCTCAATGATAACGCTCCCATGTTAGTTACATCTTTGCTGGTGGTCTGCAGTGGAAAAGAAAAAGGCCCATTCCTTGTAAAAGCAGAAGACAAAGACTCTGATCTCTATGCAGAGCCCTTTACATTCCAGCTAGTAGAGACCAATGGGAATGTGCAAGACTCTTGGAAACTGGGACAGAACTTTGGTAAGCTACCCTCCTACTGTGACGTAGGGATTTTCCATGTTCTGCCCTGTACAGTGGTACCTTGATTCTCGAACGGCTTAGTTGTCGAACAAATCGGCTCTCGAACGCCACAAACCCGGAAGTAAGTGTTTCGGTTTGTGAATGTTTTCCGGAAGCCGAACATCCGACACGGCTTCCACTTGAGTGCAAGAAGCTCCTGCAGCCAATCAGAATCCGTGCCTTGGTTTTCGAATGGTTTAGGGAGTCAAATGGACTCCTGGAACGAATTAAGTTCGAGAACCAAGGTACCACTGTACTCTTCGTACGCAGAACTCTATAGTATCTCATATGCTAAATTATGCAAATTGTATTGTCATTACATTATTCCACCCCATTCATTTCAGTGCAAGGAAAACTCAGTGCAAATGGGGTTTTGTCTTGTCTTGTATATGATTTTGATATTCTGTACATCGCTTTGACAGTCTTCAGACTAATAAAGCTATAGGAGACATTTCTTAAACAAACAGGGTTCAAGTAGGGGAGGAGACAAAAGTTTCTGGCCTTTCAGCAGAGCTAATGGGGCTGCAAGATATCTCCACCTCCTCTTCGACTATAAGCCTGATAGAATGGCAGGTGCTGTTAAATGTGGATTTCCATCTCCATTCTCTGGCCTGTTGTCTGCAGTTTTTCCTGACACCACAGGTTAATAAACTACCTATAAATGATAAGAGAAAGCATTTCTTCTGAAGTTTTCAAAGAAGGCTGGACAGCTAACCAAAGAATTGCCTAGAGGATTTGCAAGCAACCATTCAATTCTTAAAAACCTAAAAATGATTTAAATCTGGTTAATAATATTTGGAAGGGTTCAGCCTGCTCATCCTTGTCTGCATCATCACTATTGTCTCATTACCAGCGTGGTATTATTATAATTAGCAAAAAGAAATAATGTAAGCATTCTCCCTCTCTCCCACTTTAGATGACTCAGTCGAGCTGTTTATGTTGAAAAGCCTCCCTTCTGGCATTTACGAAGTGCCGCTCCACATTTTCGACAGGCAGGGGTTTTCTGTGGAACAGACCCTCCATGTCGGTGTGTGTTCCTGCCGGGATGGGATCACATGTGAGCAGGAGCTGAAACTGGCTTCCATGTCGGTGGGTCTTGGAGCAGGAGCAGTCGCTGCAATCGTGGCTGGGTTCCTGTTACTGATTTGTGAGTGATGTCGTAAAATTGCTTACTGGCAGAAATAACGTACTCAGATCTTGTGCAGAGAGAATGTAAACATGTTATCCTTGTTCGTCAGTGACTGATTTTTTTAGTGGGTGCTCAATTTCAATTCAAAGTGCATGCACACGTAGATTAGTAGGGTGAGCTGCTTCTTCATGGGATTAAACCACTGAGCCTCTTGGGATTGCTGATCGGAAGGTTGGCACTTTGAATCCACCTGACGGGGTGTGCTCCCGTTGCTCCATCCCAACTTCTTCCAACCTAGCAGTCCAAGAGCACACCAGTGCAAGTAGATAAATAGGTACCACTGCGGCAGGAAGGTAAACAGTGTTTCTGTGTGCTCTGGTTTCTGTCACGGTGTCCTGTTGCACCAGAAGCGGTTTAGTCATGCTGGCCACATGACCCAGAAAGTTGTCTGTGCACAAATGCCGGCTCCCTCGGCCTGAAAAGTGGGATGAGTGCCACACCCCATAGTTGCCTTTGACTGAACTTAACCATCCATGGGTCCTTTTACCTTTTACCTTGACCTATTGAATTAATTAATTCAGGCAATTTCTATATGCTTAAGATATAAATATATCTTTAAATGGTGTACAACAAACTAACCGGGAGATGGAGGGGATCCTAGGAGGGATTTTCCCTCCCACTTATCCAAAAAAGTGTTAAAGCTCATCCTTTGTTTTTCTTTTCCTTGTTACGCAGTGGGCTTAGCTCTCCTACTTTGGTGTTCCTCAACACCAGAATCAAAGAAAGGCCCTCCCTTCATTCCGTACGAAGAAGGCAACCAGACCCTGATCCACTACAATGAGGAGAGCCAACAAGCTTTGTCTCAGGTGGTAAATAATACCGCTATCCATTGTGTGGTTAGATGGAAAACAACACAGGGCTCTTGCAGTTGTATAGAAGAGGGAGCTTCTGCAACAGTAGCTTTCAATTCAGATATTAAAGATGTAGGGGTTCTGCTGTCTTTTGCACCTGCCCACCTTGTATTCTCTCCCTATGACGTTCCAGGGGCAATGTTATTGGGATTACTGTACAATCATCATGTGAGATTCATTAAGCCGAATGGAATTTATTCCTTTTTTTAAAAAAAAAAATTATTATAAAATACACACACATTGTGAATATACAAGCATACAAACATACATTTCATACAATCCTTAAATATATACAAACATACCTACATTCAGTCCCACAGATAATTCCTTTTCCCATCACCATCCAACACCCCTCCCCCGACCTTTGTGTTAAACTTCCAATCTACTCAATTGCAATTTCTTTCCACTTCTATTACTTTCTTTCACACACATTTAACCTAATTTCATGCTTCTTTTTCTATTACACATTGTTATCCATCTTATTTAGTATTTCAGTATTTAAAACGGAAATTGTTTATTCTAATAGGAGATCTGATTTTTCAATATGGTTTTGTAAGTATCCTTTAAACACCTTCCAATCCCTGTCTATCTTCTCTTTTGAGATCCTTCCAATTTCTCCCATTGTTTTGGATATTGTAGTACTCCAATAATTTGGCAAGCCACTCTATTTTTGTCGGTATAATACCACTTTTCCAATTTTTCGCAATCAATAGCCTTGCGGCTACTGTTGCGCACAAATATAATGTCTTGTCTTCTTCCTTTAGACTTCCTGGTACTATTCCCAATAGAAAACCTTCTGGTGTTTTCCTAAATGAATATCTAAACTTTTTTTTCATTTCGTTATATATTGTTTCCCAAAATTGTTTGATGTTTAAACAGTTCCACCATATATGTACCATAGTACCTTTTCCAGTGTTGGAAGAATGGAATTTATTCCTATTGAGTTGTATAAGATGGTAGTCTTTGATTCTTTGGGACCAGAGAGCAGCGGAGACTTGGAGTGCCTTTGTAACATCTGCTTTCTTTGCATATGTACTAGCAGGACATATAGGCAAGCAGACACTCCTTCAACAGGCAGCAGATCCCCAGAGAATATTTGTGTCGACCTTTTCCAGGCAGGCACCCACAATTTTAGTAGTTCCAGCTAGATTCTTGTATTGCTTTCTGTCCATTCAGAACAGCTGCTTCACACGCAACCAACATGTAATAATGCATTTGATTTTGACTTAATGTCCCATTTAGGATACACCCGATATGGGAGATCCTGCTACATCATCCGCAGTCTATGCACAAATTTCCAAAGAGAAAGCACAAACAATTAAGGTAACCACAGAACTCCTTGAGCTTTATTGAATGTATATTTAAAGGGCCTGTAATGGAACAGTACAGTTTCCTTGCCTGGTGTTGCTCTTGTTTGTCCTCCCCCCTCCCTTTCTGTTGGGTATTAGGGGAGAAATGTATTTCAGTTTGCTTTTAAAGGTGAACTTGCCTAATTCACACTTTCCCCAACAATATATGAACTGTAAGGAAGCCATCCTTCAAAATTCACAGTTCTCTGAATTTTGCAATGCAGTTCTTAGGCCAAGTAATGTGTACAAAAATGCATATACTAGGGCACAATTTTGCTTAAAAATGCATACCTTGCTGAAAATGACATACCAAAATGTATGCTATGGGGAAATTGCATACATAAGTGTGTATACTATATTAGGATACATTTTCACCCAAATGCTCAAATGTACACGAGGGCTTTTACAAAAAAGTTCGCAGACTGATGTGGTCGTGTGGAGAACTGAATTTAAGATTGGAAAAATGAGAAACTAACTGCAAATCCACCCATCTCTAGCAATAGTGTGCATATTGGAGTAACTGAAAAGCTATACGGGGGTCTCTGCCTTGCTGAAAGATAACTGCTCTGACCCTCAAACTCTGCTTATTCAGCAAAGGTCTCTACTCTTATAGGCTATTCTTAGAGGCACTTTTGTAGGTGAGTGGGAGTCTGCATCATGAAGGGCCCCCTGATCATGTGGAAGATCCTATACAAAAGCTATTGGTTCCCCTTTCAGACCAGCTCACAGAGGTTGGGGTGGTTCTCAGCAGGCCATTAATGCCAGAGGCAGGGATTGACCTGGAGGTCAAAGGCCTGTAGGTATCTCATAGCCTAGGATGTTGTCCAAGGCAATCACTCAGGGCTGAAATCTGCCTTGTATGTAGGGATTGAGCTCCTTCAAATTGTCCTTTTACAGTGGTACCTTGGGTTAAGAACTTAATTAGTTCCGGAGGTCCGTTCTTAACCTGAAACTGTTCTTAACCTGAAGCACCACTTTAGCTAATGGGGCCTCCTGCTGCTGCTGCGCCACCGCTGTGCGATTTCTGTTCTCATCCTGAAGCAACGTTCTTAACCCGAGGTACTAGTTCTGGGTTAGCGGAGTCTGTAACCCGAAGCTTCTGTAACCCGAGGTACCACTGTATATGCTTGTTTATTTATTGTCCAATGCTTTTAATGCCTTGATATTGGCTTGCATCCCATGATGCACCAGCAGGGCTTTGCTGACACCCAGGGCCGTCTTAAGCTTATCCGGCGCCGTGGTGCAAAGATCCCTCCAATGCACCCCCCCCATTTCCCATAGTTGCTGACCTTTTTTAGGGAGGACGGCACTGCCAGCCCCCAGCTTTGCTGGAGGGCAGCTCCTCTGGCGGGGAAGAGGTGGAGTCTGGATGCAGCGGCTCCTGGTTCAGCTGGTTGCTTCGTGCCATGGTGGCCATGGCAAGCAGAGGCTCCACGTGTGGTGCTGCTTCGGCGCAGCATGGCGGAGGCAGGTGAGGGCGGCGAGCTGATGCTGGGAGGCGCCGTGTCCAGCCTCTGCCTCTTCCCTGGCGCCCTCCAGAACTTGGCTCCCTGCACCACTAGCCTATATGGGTAAGGCGCCCCTGCTGGCACAAATGGAGCTTTGTTTCCTTTCTTTTCCCCATGTGCCTCAAAAAATCTACTCTAGAAGGTCTCCAACCACCTGGAGCTGATTTTGAGGGTGGAGTGGAGGAGACAGGAGAAGGAGGGAAATTGACTCCATTGCACATGTGGAAGTCTTGTTATGTCAGCAGAGCTACAGCGCTGGATAGGGGCCAGTCATTTCTTTTGGTATTTTATTTCTTAGAGGCCAACTGGAGCGAGCACCTCACATTCACGGACATCCAGTCAAGTACACTATGAACAAAACCTACTTGTGAGTAAAATGTGTACGAAACCACCGTTGCTTCAGGTATAGAAAAATGTATGATGGTATGCAGTAGTTCACGGGTGCTAGATTTTGTTGTTGCTTTCAGTTTGCAATCATTTATCATCATCATCATTTTAGTTATATGCTGCCTTTCCATAGTTAAAACCATGGGTAGGCAAACTAAGGCCCGGGGGCCGGATCCGGCCCAATCGCCTTCTAAATCTGGCCCGCGGACGGTCTGGGAATCAGTGTGTTTTTACATGAGTAGAATGTGCCCTTTTATTTAAAATGCCTCTCTGGGTTATTTGTGGGGCATAGGAATTTGTTCAATTTTTCCCCCAAAATATAGTCCGGCTCCCCACCAGGTCTGAGGGACAGTGGACCGGCCCCCTGATGAAAAAGTTTGCTGACCCCTGGTTAAAACAATTCTCAAGGCGACTTACAGAATGACAAGATTTACATAATTACCTTTACCTTTAACAAAAGTCACCAACGATAAATAAAACACATCAGAAAGTACACAACCAAATGGAAAACAATTTCCACATAATTCATAAAATCTAAAATTAAGAATACAGCATTAATATCAGTCACAATTCAAAATGACATAGATAAAAAATAAAAGCAATTTAAAAAACAAAAACAGAGCCCTCTCTGCCCAGCAGCAGCAGCAGCAGCAGCAGCAGCAGTACTCCTTTGTGGAGCCTGTCAGGCCCTGCCCCAAGCCAGGTGGAGAGAACCAGGACAGGGCCATGTTAAGTTGTGGGTGAACATATCAGACGACACAGCCATTCTTCAAACAGCTCTTGTTTATTCACAGGCCAGAACAGAACTGAACTGAAGGGTTGAGCCAGCCTGCTTATATAGATCTCCAGTAGAATGCACCAGTAACAATTTTCTGTAACTATCCAATCACTTAGCGTCACTTTCTATTCCTTATTTGCATATGTGGACCTGAGTGAAAACGATCTACAGTATCCCCCTGCTGGCCCAGGGTGAGAACTTCAGTACATAACAGCCCTTCAGGCTCCCAGCAGGTCAGTCCTGGGCAGCAGCAACAGCGGCGGCAGTTCTTTATTATGCCCCCAACTTTACATTGCATTTCCTTTGCATTAAAATGAATGGGGTGGAATAATTAATGACAATGTAATTTAGGGTTTTAATGTATTTAATTATGTAAATTACATAAGTTACATAATTTCACCATATTTTTGCAGAAAATAGTTATTCATTTTATCCTTATACTGCTTTATATTTTTTATGAAGGAACCTACATTAAAACATCAAAGCATTCCAAAACAAAACATTACAGGAGATCAGATTTAAAATATGAATCTAAATATAGTTAACAGGAAACAAAAATATTGCCTTAAATGTTTCACATTAAGACATTACAAAGGAAGGCCAATTATAGAACACCTTAGAAAATGAATTGCAGAAGGACATAAGCAGCACTGCATGCAGTGAATATAAAAGAATACGTTGTTTGTTAATTTATCGTTCAGAATATTGCTCAAGGTGGCTGACAATAAAATGGAAATTTATCAAACTAGAGTAAAACACATTAAGCATATTAAAATACATGATAAAAATCACGCAGCACAGAGATGAACAGCCCTTACAGCAAAGAGGAGCACTTGTCATAGCTACAAGCAGCAGAAAGGTTTGTAGCAATTGTGACTTTCGTCTGCTCCCAGAAAATTACCAATATTCTATGACCACCACTGCAAAGTTGGGGGCGGGGATTTTGAATTGAAATGGGCTTCTGAAAGTCCCTTGCAGGCAAGGTCACCTTGACAACATTGTGGCATTGGGTAATTGACAGCTCCACACACTTGCCATACTTGGCTCACAAGGGTTGGAGGAGATGATGATGATTATGATAATGATAATTTATTATTATTTATACCCTACCCTCTGGCTGGGTTTCTCTAGCCACTCTGGGTGGCTTCCAACAAAATATTAAAATACAATAGTCTGTTAAACATTAAAAGCTTCCCTAAACAGGACTGCCTTCAGATGTCTTCTGAAAGTCTGGTAGTTGTTTTTCTCTTTGACATCTGATGGGAGGGCATTCCACAGGGTGGGTGCCACTACCGAGAAGGCCCTCTGCCTGGTTCCCTGTAACTTGGCTTCTCGCAGTGAGGGAACCACCAGAAGGCCCTCGGCGCTGGACCTCAGTGTCCGGACAGAATGATGGGAGTGGAGACGCTCCTTCAGGTATACTGGACCAAGGCCGTTTAGGGCTTTAAAGGTCAGCACCAATACTTTGAATTGTGCTCGGAAATGGAGAATCTGACCCAGTGGGCAGAAAAGGTTCTTCACTCCTGTTCTGTTCCATCTGTCCACACACCAGACAATGTGTTTTATGTGGCAATCATGTTTGCCACATGTTTGTATGCTAGTGTTCTTACTGCTGCAGGACTTGAGAGAGAGTGAGAGCGAGAGTGGTTTTAGTGAACTATCCTGAGGCTTTCTGCAGTTTGATGTCCTAATGTGTTTCAAATATTCTAATTTTAAGGAGAGTGGTTTTAGCAAGATGCATGGAAATACACGGACTGCAACTCAACTGTATTTTTATAAGCTAAGCTTCATTTTCTTTTAAAGGATGACCATAGAATGACCCAAGCAAAGCTGACAGCGCCTGGTGGAAGTATCGCTTCACCCATAACCATCCCAGAATATTTCCAAATGATCCCTGGCTGGCATCAGGTTAGATAAATCACAACAGGATCCTGCCCCACCCCCTGCACTTTTTATCTCTAATAACTCAAGATGTGTCACGTTACAAAAAATTGCTATCTGTAGATTTCATAGTTTCCCCTTATACTTGAAGTAATTCTAGATGGAATGTAAGCAAGTGGTGGCTCTAAAATTCATTTTCTCTGCTTCAGCAGACAACCTTGCTCCCCCAAAACAGTAAGAAGCGCTGGAAGAACCCACATGACCGGATGCTGGAAACATTGGATGAAATCTTAAATCAAGTGAGAAACAGGAAGAGGTTGATTACTTCCCCTTCTCCAAGAACTATGAAATGCGTCCAGTGGAATGAGTTTCAATAATGGCTCAAATTTGCTTTTGTTAATGCAGAAGCCCAAAGATCTTCTCCTGCCACCAAATTATTTTAAATTGGGGAGGGTAGAAAATAAATCTAGGGAGCTCCTGAATGCACAAAAGATGCTCTACTAGTGAGCTGTTGTCCTTCTTCCCGAATGTGCTGCAGATAACAAAGATTTATTTCATTAAGCAGGGATGGGGAACCTTTGGCTCTCCAGGCCTGTTCTGAACTCCAGTTCCCATCAGCCCAGCTATAGCATGGCCAATGGTCAGGAATGATGGGAGTTGTAATTCAACAATGTCTAGAAGGCCACAAATTTCTCATCCATGTAGCAGAGGCAGGAAGGTGCTCTTGTTTAGCTATCTAAATGCTCTTTTGCTCACGTTCTCTCCTCAGAAACTTAACCACATCGCCGATCTAGAGGATAACTGGGTCTCTTACGCTCCTCATGTTTATGCAGAAGAAGGAATTTTGGAGAAAAGTGAATCCGCTCTCTCCCTACCAGTTGTGGATGATGACAGCCTACCTCCTGATTTCTTGGCTACTTTGGGGCCCAAGTTCACCACTCTTGACAAAATCTGCAGCAAGTGATTCCTTTAAAGCTGCCCTATGAGCAGCTGGGAATCCTCCCAGTTTAATTTGAAATTGAACTATAGCTATGCCGTTCATAAAGGGATTTTTGCCAGCATTCATTCTGCTGAATTTTTATACTTGAATAAATGGATTATTTTATTTTGCAATAAATACAGTGTTTTTAAAATGTTGATGTTGCATTGTGGGAAATGTTATGTTTCCCATTGTCTTATCCAGAAAAATTACACGAAAGCTTAAGCTACCCTAAGCCAATTGTCCTCATCTTGGTGCTCTCCTGATGTTTTGGAGTACAATTTCCACCATGTCTGTTGGCTGGGATTGTTGGCTGATGGAAGCTGTAGTCTAAAATGTCTGGAGGGCACCATGTTGGGAGGAAGGCTGCCTTTGGCTCTAAGCATGTGTAGTAGACAGTGGAAGTGGGTCCATTAGAGAGAATGGGATGCTGCTCCACCAACTTGTCTGCTCTCTGCCAGCCCTGCCTGTCACTGAAGGTCTATGTTTATGCGATGTTGCTGAAGCCAGCAGTGGTTATTGGGTTGCACCGGGCAGCCATCAGGTCTCTGAGCATTGCAAAATTCATTAGAAAGAAGGCTTTAAGAAAGAATAGGAAGGCACACTGATGCAAAGTCTACAAAGTGCAGAAAAAGGGGTGTTGGACATTCCTCTCTTGAAAATGATTCATGCCCTTGATCCTTTTCTCTAGACCAGGGATGGGGAGCCTGTGACCTTCCACATGATGCCAGACTACAAATCCCATCAGCTGCAACCAACCTGGCCAATGGTTGGGGATAATCGGAGCTGTAGTTCAATGTGTGGAAGGCCACAGGTTCCCCATCACTGATGTAAGCAATATATAACTGTAGTGAGGTTGACTCCATGTTCACAACAAGCCTACAATGGAGACAGAAGAACAACGACAATGGGGTTGGATTACATGACCTATGGCACCCCTTCCAACTCTACAATTCTATGATTCTGAAATCTTCAATGGGTTACAGCAACAAAAAGGATTTTTTGTTGTTGTTGCTAAAGGCTAGCACCCAAAGCTATGGTTAAAGCTATGGTTTTCCTAGTAGTGATGTATGGAAGTGAGAGCTGGACCATAAAGAAGGCTGATCGCTGAAGATTTGATACTTTTGAATTATGGTGCTGGAGGAAACTCTTGAGAGTCCCATGGACTGCAAGAAGATCAGACCTATCCATTCTGAAGGAAATCAGCCTTGAGTGCTCACTGGAAGGACAGATCCTGAAGCTGAGGCTCCAAGACTTTGGCCACCTCATGAGAAAAGAAGACACCCTTGAAAAGACCCTGATGTTGGGAAAGATGGAGGGCACAAGGAGAAGGGGATGACAGAGGATGAGTTGGTTGGACAGTGTTCTCGAAGCTACCAGCATGAGTTTGACCAAACTACAGGAGGCAGTGGAAGACAGGAGTGTCTGGCGTGCTCTGGTCCATGGGGTCACGAAGAGTCGGACATGACTAAACGACTAAACAACAACAAAGCACCCAAAGGCTTGGCTGTTAAGTGTATGGAAAGACTGAGCAGAGAATATCTGTCTATGGTCAGTAGCTGCAGAGGTGTGGAAGGCTGAGGTCCTTTGCTAGTAGGGTTGCCAGACCCCCAGGGCTGACCTGAAGTCTCCAGATTTGCTTGGCTGCCCCAAGGTGGTTGGGAGAGGGCTTGAATCTTCAAGTTGACAGGTCTGCCTTTATTTATTTATTTATTTTAAATTAAAGACTGTGTGCAGCTTGCAAGCTTCAGCCCAGCAGATTGTTGCATAGACTCTCTGGGGACCCTTAAATATCTGTGGCCTTGAATGGGTGGAATGTTTTGATCCTGTCTTTTATTAGCGTTTTGTATTTTTCTGTTTTGCCTGCCTCAACGAATGCACTCGTTTATATTTGGCAAGTTGCTCCGTGTTACCGTGGTAAAAAAGGCAACCAATAAGTTTAAATAATAAAAACAATTAATATTCCATGACCTCGTGGATCCCTTTGGATATTCCAAGCACTGTTAAGCTACCATCTCTCACAACAACCTACAAATTCTCAAAGACAGGGAATGAATGAATGAATGAATGAATGAATTCAAAGGCAGTTGAATTAATGAGACACTTTAAAAGAATGTTACATACTTCAGTCTTGCCTGAGTTCATTTTTTTGTCAAAAACTATCCCTCGGCTATCTTTCCTTCACTTCCTGTGTTTTGCTTATCTTGACAACTTGTGTGGTGAGGTTTCTGGATCACCTCATCCCAAACATCTAAAAACAGCTGTGCTAAGGCGGCATGGGATGAGATTTGTGTGCATGTAATACGTAGTCTTGTCAGCTTTTTGTTGGTACATCCCCAGAGTACGGAATGTGCTTGCAAGATACTTTGGCTCTCAATGGAGTCAAGCACATTGTGTACACAGTCATTTCCTTCCACAAAATAAATTGCAATAAAATATTTAAATAAAGGTGATTTCCTCCCAGTTAAAGGATCCATGGATTTGCCTTGGGTTCAGTTTATTTTTTATTTTTATTTTTTGGGTTCAAGTTTAGAAGGGTTGGAAGAACCAAGGATCAGAAACAATTATTTATGTATGCAACGACAGCAGTGTGGATACTACTGGCCCAGAGATGGAAAGAAGATAAAGTCCTGACCAGAGACGAATGGTTGATGAAGATGATGAACTATGCCAAAATGGCAAAATTGACCGCGAAAATCAGAAACCAGGAAGGGAAGAACTTTAAGAAGGAATGGGGAAAATTTACAATGTATTTAAGAGAACACTGTAAACAACTAGAAAATCTTTGGCAGGATTTGAGTAATGCTTGTAATGTACAAAAAACTATGGTAAAAATGGATTATTTTTTAAATAGAGAAAATAAGAAGCAGCTGAAAAAAGATTGATAATGGTTACCATGGAAATGCAGAGGGGTCGAGACCAACTGGCAGGAATCTTTACGAAGATTTTTAACCAGTCTCTGGCCCAAGCCACCATTCCACCCTGTCTGAAATCCGCTACCATTATACCCCTGCCAAAAAAATCAAAGATAGACAGTCTGAATGATTTTTGCCCTGTGGCGTTGACACCCATTATAATGAAATGTTTCGAAAAACTGGTGAGGAAACGCATCTTATCTTGTCTGCCAGTGGGACTTGACCCTTACCAGTTTTCGCACAAGGCAAAGAGATCCACAGAGGATGCTGTGGCAATGGCTTTACATGCTGTCCTGACTCATTTGGAGAAGCAAGGGAACTACGCGAGACTGTTATTTGTAGACTTTAGTTCTGCATTTAATACTATTCTTCTGCATAGATTGGTGCTCAAATTATTAGACCTGGGACTTCCACCATGTTTGTGCAGGTGGATATTAGATTTTCTATCAAACCGTTCCCAAAGGATCAGGTTGGGTTCCCACGTCTCTGCCAATTTCATCACGAATATGGGGACGCTGCAGGGGTGCGTGTTGAGCCCGCTTTTATACACGCTCTATACAGCTGACTGTGCCCCCAAATACCCCAATAAGTAGATCATTAAGTTCGCAGATGATACAACGGTGGTTGGTTTAATCACGGCTGGAGAGGGGGAGGTGGCCTATAGGAAGGAAGTTGAGCAGTTGGGGGAGTGGTGCAGGAAAAACAACTTACTCCTTAACTTAAAGAAAACAAAAGAGATCATTGTGGACTTTAGGAAATGTAAATTGAATATTCAGCCACTTATTATTGAGGGGAAGTGCGTGGAACAGGTCTTGGTGTTTCGATTTCTGGGAATTGAGTTGAGAGACGACCTAACCTGGGGAGAAAACAGCAAAGACCTGATGAAGAGAGCACAGCAGAGGTTATATTTTCTGAGAATCCTCCGGAAAAACAATCTCTCAAAGGACCTGTTGATGGCATTTTGCCATTGCACTGTAGAGAGTGTATTAACTTATGGTCTGTGTGTTTGGTTTGGGAGTTGCACGGCCAGGGAAAAAACAATGCTGTCCAGGGTTGTAAAGACTGCAGAGAGAATAAATGGGTGCACTCTTCCCACCTTAGATCAAATCTATGCTGCCAGGTGCCATAAGAAAGCGGCAGAGATAGCGCAGGATAGCACACACCCTGGAAATTATCTCTTTCAGCTTCTGCCTTCTGGAAGAAGGTATAGGCTTATAAAGGCCAGGACTAACCGCCTGAGAAACAGTTTCTATGCAAATGCAATTCTGGTTCTAAACACAGCATAAGGGGTCTCTATAGTACAGTGTATTTTAAAATGGGGTTTCAGAGTTTTTAGGGGTTTTTGAATGTTTTATGTAGTTTTTCAATTTCATTGTTCTGCATGGGACAATGACAATAAAGATATCGTATATCGAATCAGGGAATCCCAAATGTTGATGTTTAAAGTTTGAATTTAAATTTGCAATGTAAAACTTAATAAAAAATATTTGACAAAAAATAGAAGGGTTGGGAGAACATAAGAACAGTCTTGGCACCCTCTTCTTTTTCTGAGTTAAATTTTTAAAGTTTTTTTTCATGATACGATAAGAAATAGTACATTCTTTTCTCACAGTAGCCAACCATATGCCTGTGGGAAGCCTTGGTACTGAGAAATGATTTTCTTCTGTCATTAGGGTTTGCACTTAGATTTTATACATGCTTGAACGGAACTTTCTAAACAAAAATAAACATTACCTTAACAATGCTTTTGCTACACTATGGAAGAGGCAGGACTCCTTTGACTTTCTTTTAGGACACTGGAAAAGCGCTGCTGTAATTTTTAGTAGCAGCTGAAAACGCAACAGTTGTGACCTAGCAGTGTGTTCTGCTGTCTCCTGGTGTCTGTTTCAGGTAGTACAATTTTGCAAACGGATGACGTGCCTTGCATTAGAGAGGAATTATTTTCAAAGTCCCCCTCTTTCTCCACACCATTCATAAGCTCATAAATATTGTCTGCCACTCATTTGGGGGGGGAAACAACAACCCCTGACTCCTAAACTATTAAAATCTTGAATATCTGAAAAAAAAAGAAACCATTGAATGCCTTCCTCCCAAAGGAGGAAGGATGGGAGATAAAAATATAGCAAGCAAACCAGCAAAATAAATAACTAAACAACAACAAATTCTCTCTAAAAGAGACTTTGGGTGGTTGCATGATGACAAGAGGGAAATATCAGCATGTATCCCAAGCTATGCATGCAAAAGTACAGTGGTACCTCAGGTTAAGAACTTAATTCGTTCTGGAGGTCCGTTCTTAACCTGAAACTGTTCTTAACCTGAGGTACCACTTTAGCTAATGGGGCCTCCCGCTGCCCCTGTGCGATTTCTGTTCTCATCCTGAAGCAAAGTTCTTAACCCGAGGTACTATTTCTGGGTTAGTGGAGTCTGTAACCTGAAGCGTCTGTAACCCGAAGGGTCTGTAACCCGAGGTACCACTGTACTATGCATCACCAGAAATGGTCCACCTCCAAAGTCCTACAAAGACGCAATATGCTTAGCAGCCTCCAGGAGTCACTGAATGTTAGCAACATCTGCAGCTGCCTTATACTGAGACTGATTGGGAACATGGCGCCCAGTGGTTCTTGCTTAGGCTTGTCCTTTAAGTAGGTTTTAATCTACACCAACAAGCAGGCAATGATATACCCTCCAACATTCCTCAGATGAAAATAGGGACATTTCTTTTTTTAAAAATTATTTGGTTTTTCAACTTTAAATTTTACAGAAATATATCAAAGATAAATCATAAAAACAAGATTCCAAGGAATCTCCGGGACTTCCATCCTCCCTTATGTGGGTCCTATTATTAATCATTTCCTCCTGCATCTTTTATGATAATCCAAACCCTCCACCTCTCCATTGTGTCCAAAATTCACCATTAAACTGCAAGTGATATTCCTACTAACGATTTTAACTGTTTACAATGGTCTTTAAGTTATAACTCTTTCCCATTCCTTATTACAATTTTGGTCTTCCTGATTTCTAACTCTTCCAGCCATTTTAGCGTAGTCCATTAACTTCATCTGCCATTCTTCTCTGGTAGGGACTTGATCTTCTTTCCATCTCTGGGCCAGTAACATCCGTGTAGCTGTGCTCACATACATAGTTTTTTCGGCACCTAGAATTCCTAAAAGGAAGGCTTCAGGTTTTTTTTAACAAAGGTTATTTTAAACATTTTTTTTCAACTCTGGAGCATCTAAAAAGGTTCAGGGGATATGCGAGGAACAAGCTGGAATAGCTAGGCTTCTAAGAGATGTGGCTCTACACAGAAATGGAAGGTTAAGCCTCATTGGGTCGGGGCCAAGGAAGGAATCCTTGCATTCTAGGTTTTACACCAGATACCTTCCTCGACAAGGAAGCATAGAAGTCCTAAGTTTAAGCCTGCCAAGGCCAGCAGCATGGAAGCCAAGCACCCAGGAAGAGAAGGGCTACCAAAGGACACATTGGTGAGAGCAACCTGGGATACAGGTGGAAGCAGGGAGATTATGATACTGGGCTTGAGTAAGGATCCCCTTACACAGGCAGGAGGACTGATGTGTCTTTGAAGTGCTTCCAACTGTAGAAAGCTACAGTAGGGAGTCGGGATCCATTCCAAAGTTTAATGTGTGCTTCAGTTCCATGATAGCTTGAAGCGACACATTTAGGCTCATGCGGCGAATATTATTATTCCTGGGCTATGGCTGTCAGTCTTTTGTGCTGGTGCAATCCAGCTGTGCTGCTCCCATCCGTTGCCAATCAGTATGTGCATCTTGACTAACTTGCTATCTGCCCTCAAGAGGGACCGAAAAACAGAGTCCATTAATCTCAAGTGGGCTGAGAAACAAGGAACATCTGTTCCTACTTTTCCAGTGGCGCCTGCCTCCAGGGAGCTAGGAGTGATGAGCTTAGTGCTCACTGCTAGATACCCACTCGGAAAACAAGCTATTTTAGAGGTTTTCGAGAGACACGGTAATAAATAATTGGAATATCAGAAGGCAGAATGAAGGCTATGACTACCTAAACATACACATTCCTGGAGCTAACCCAGGCGTGGGTTTCGTGAAGAGCCATAGTTCTGTGGTGGAAGATCTGCTTTGCATTCAGGAAGACAGAATATGCTGGTCAGGTTGACAATATTGAGGTAGACGGAACTGCAGCCTGTCTCCAGAAAACAAACTCAGTCAGGTAGGGCATGAGACTCTTAATCTCAACGTCATGGGTTTGATCCCCACGTTGGGCAAAAGATTCCTGCATTCTACAGGGTTTTGTTAATGATAATAAAATGACATTACCACACACCTCTTCAGATTTTCAGTAGAACATACCTAGATGCTTCTGGTGTTGTGCACTATTGACAATGTGCTTTGTTTTCACGATTCTCCTCACTGGGGCTGACAATGGAATCTTCTTAGATGCATTTGACAATGGCATTTATTTGAATACTGCATGTGAGGGTGGGAAGAGATAGCAAGAGGGGTGCTAGCTTATAGCTCCATCCCATTAATTAAAAATAAATGCCCTGGAGTAGGACTTACTGTTCCATCCCAAAATATGTAAAAGCTTTTTTTTTTTTACCAAGACTGTCACTACATTCTTTCGATTAATGTCCAGATATAATGGAGGTTGTGGGTACATCTGTGGGGAGAATAACACAGACATGTTCAGACATGCCCCAACACTCAAATATTATGTGGGCGGGGTTTATAGTTCTACCCCCAAAATATTAAAAGCATGCTTTACCAAGACTGCCACTAGGGTCTTCCGACTGATGAAGAAGGGGCTTTTTTACCAGAGCTTTTATGGACTCTTGTGAAGTTGTGGCTCAAAATCCTACATCTGTGGGGAGAATAACACGAGCATGTTCAGACATGCCCCAACACTCAAATATTAATACAAAATATCAAAGCCTATTATTGGTTCAAAACATGACTAAAATCTTCAAAGAGAGGCATCATCTGCAAAGACTTATATCATTGCCTAACACAGGCATAGGCAAACTCGGCCCTTCAGATGTTTTGGGACTACAATTCCCACCATCCCTGACCAACTGGTCCTGTTAGCTAGGGATCATGGGAGTTGTAGTCCCAAAACATCTGGCGGGCCATGTTTGCCTATGCCTGGCCTAACAGGTCAGAAGTGATCCTGTTTAGGGTTCCAGCAGCAGCCTGGTAGGGCCATGACACTCACCTGGTTAATAATAATAATAATTATTATTATTATTATTATTATTATTATTTATACCCCACCCATCTGGCTGGGCTTCCCCAGCCACTCTGGGCGGCTTCCAAAAAAATACAGTGGTACCTCGGGTTAAGTACTTAATTTGTTCCGGAGGTCTGTTCTTAACCTGAAACTGTTCTTAACCTGAAGCACCACTTTAGCTAATGGGGCCTCCTGCTGCTGCCATGCCACTGGAGCACGATTACTGTTCTCATCCTGAAGCAAAGTTCTTAACCCGAGGTACTATTTATGGGTTAGCGGAGTCTGTAACCTGAAGTGTATGTAACCTGAAGCGTATGTAACCCAAGGTACCACTGTATTAAAATACAGTAATGCATCAAACATTAAAAGCTTCCCTAAACAGGGCTGCCTTCAGATGTCTTCTAAAAGTCTGGTAGTTGTTTTTCTCTTTGACATCTGGTGGGAGGGCGTTCCACAGGGAGGACGCCACTACCAAGAAGGCCCTCTGCCTGGTTCTCTGTAACTTGGCTTCTCGCAGTGAGGGAACCGTCAGAAGGCCCTCTGCGCTGTCCGGGTAGAACAATGGGGGTGGAGACGCTCCTTCAGGTATACTGGACCGAGGCCGTTTAGGGCTTTAAACATCAGCACCAATCCCATCTCTGTTGCTTATCAGGAGGTGAGGCAGCAGTGAGCTTCCTGCAGGGCCAACATGGTGCACCTGACAGTACATTTGCCCTGAGCCAGCCCCCCCCACCTCTGCCCCTCTCCTTCCCCGTAAGCAGCACCAATGTGACCAACAGGATGTCAGCTGAGCAGAGCCTGTTGGGGCATGTGCAGAGTGCCCATTTAGCACGCCAGCAGACTGTGCAAATGGAAAATCCAGAATGGGGGTGTCAAATAAAGATGCCAGACTGTTTGGGTAAGGTCAGTTCCTTTACGGACAGGTAATCTGAAGGATCATGCAGTTCCTCAGCTTAGCACTCACATACGTACATAAAGTAATCCTACCTCAGTCTGTCCCAAGAGACAGCTTGCAGCAACAGTCAGAAAAGGTCCTTCCAGCAACATACTGCCAACAAAGATTAGGTTCTAGCCAAGGGGCGGGACCCAAGGCAGACTTGTTCCAAACACAAGGGTATATTTCTATTTTAAATTGTGCTGACTTACTCTCACAAGTTTGCTGACTCACACTTAACAAGCTGCAGGTGCAGGTGCAAGGCAAACAGACCTGAATTAACCTTTCCTTGTCCTTTTTCTCTGCATGCATAAACCCACACTGTAACAGTGTTGTTCTAGCCAGTCATGATCACCTCTTTCGGAAGAAAGGGTCTGAAGGTGGGCATTTAGTTAGAAGGAAGATTTGCCCTGCCCTTCCTCTAGGGCAGGCTTCCTCAACCTCGGCCCACCAGATGTTTTGGGGACTACAACTCCCATCATCCCTAGCTAGCAGGACCAGTGGTCAGGGATGATGGGAACTGTAGTCTCAAAAAATCTGGAGGGCTAAGGTTGAGGAAACCTGCTCTAGGGAGTTCAGGGAAGCCCACCTTTATTTTAACCAATTAATGGCATGTATACTTAAGCATGATCACTGCAGATGGTGACAGAAGTCACAAAATTAAAACATGCCTGCTTCTTGGCAGAAAAGCAATGACAAACCTAGACAGCATCCTAAAAAGCAGAGACATCACCTTGCTGACAAAGGTTCATATAGATAAAGCTATGATTTTCCCAGTAGTGATGTATGGAAGTGAGAACTGGACCATAAAGAAGGCTGATCGCCAAAGAATTGATGCTTTTGAATTATGGAGGAAACTCGAGTCCCATGGACTGCAAGAAGATCAAACCTCTCCATTCTGAAGGAAATCAGCTCTGAGTGCTCACTGGAAGGACAGATCCTGAAGCTGAGGCTCCAATACTTTGGCTACCTCATGAGAAGAGAAGACTCCCTGGAAAAGACCCTGATGTTGGGAAAGATTGAGGGCACAAGGAGAAGGGGACGACAGAGGACGAGATGGTTGGACAGTGTTCTCGAAGCTACAAACATAAGTCTGACCAAACTGCGGGAGGCAGTGGAAGACAGAAGTGTCTGGTGTGCTTTAGTCCATGGGGTCACGAAGAGTCAGACACAACTAAACGACTAAACAACAACAAATACTTAATCTCAGATATATGTCACAGAGATTTGCAAGGTTAAAATGAAATTCGAAAACAAACGCTAACACAGCCCAACAAAACTGGAGCACAACCAGTAAGACAAACAGTGTAACAAAGCTATAGAAAAGGGAGGATTACAGCACCCCATTCCGTTTGACTTGGCAGAAGGGTATCTTCATGGATGGGGACCCAGACTTGAGTCCTTGGTGTTCTAAAATGCTGTCAGCAGCCATGTTAGCTTTCTCTCAATGGTCTGTTCTGAGGAGCATTTGGGGGAAAGATGGCAACTGTCACTCACACAGACAAGATGCTCAATATCAGGGGTCAGCAAACTTTTTCAGCAGGGGGCCAGTTCTCTGTCCCTCAGACCTTGTAGGGGGCTGGACTATATTTTTTTTTGGGGGGGGAATGAACAAATTCCTATGCCCCACAAATAACCCAGAGATACATTTTAAATAAAAGGACACATTCTACTCATGTGAAAACACGCTGATTCCCAGACCGTCTGTGGGCCAGATTTAGAAAGCGATGGGGCCAGATCCGGCCCCTGGGCCTTAGTTTACTTAACCATGCTCAATATCTTTCTTAAGCTTCTTCTGCCCTCAAAAATGCAAAAAATAAAATAAAAATAAAAAAATTGAAAGGTGGTTTTGCCTCTTCTTCCCTCCCTCTTTCCCAACATCAGGGTCTTTTCCAGGGAGTCTTCTCTTCTCATGAGGTAGCCAAAGTATTGGAGCCTCAGCTTCACGATCTGTCCTTCCAGTGAGCACTCAGGACTGATTTCCTTCAGAATGGAGAGGTTTCATCTTCTTGCAGTCCACGGGACTCTCAAGAGTCGCCTCACAATTACCTTCTAGCTATGGCTGTGATCTTGGTGGGGTTGGGTGGGGAGGCACTGGCCTTTACATGCACCTAGGCATGGGGAATAAATTTTATGCAGTTTGCATTTAAATGCCAACCCAACTCATCCACACTTTCCAATACAATTTGCAAATGGAAAATGCAGCCATGCTTTGAAATCTGCACTACTCCAAATTTTACTATTCGGGCCTCCAGCCAAGCAACATCTACAGAAATGCATATTTTAATCTTTTTTAAGTTTATTAAGTTATTATTTTATTTTAATTAATTGCCAGTGCTGTCAGACCATTGGTCCACATCCAGCTCAGCATTATCAATGATGATTGGCACCGGCTGGCACCGACGTTCCAGAGTTTCAGGCAAGAGTGTTCCCTACCAGAAGCTGCCAGGGATGGAAAATGCGACCAACATGTATCCCAGGGGTTGGCAATGTTTTTATGGCTTGGGCTGGTTCACGGTCCTGCAGACGCCGTGGTGGGCTGGAGTTTGTGTGCGCGCGCATGTGCAAACACTTTTTCCAGCGCTCCTTCTAGCGTGGAAGAGGCATGCATAGCTTCCCATTGGCTGCAGGAGCTGGGAAGCCAGCCAGCGTCGCTGAAGGCGGTCCCTGCACTGGTTTAGCGCGGCGCACAGGAGCCAACTGAGCAGGTGGTGGGGGTCCCCAAGCCGGTGGTGGAGGTCTCTGGGCCGATTAAACGACCCCCATGGGTTGCTTGGGGCCCATGGGCCTTAGGTTGCTGACCCCATATGTATTCTATCTGATAGAATATATGTGTTCCCTTCAGAAGTCCTCGCTTTGATTCCTGGCACCTGAAGTCTGGCCTTGAGCATTTCCCCATAGGACATAGTAACCAAGAGGCACTTCATAATGCTAGGCCGCATCCTGCCACTGGAATCTAAAGGACAGAACCCATTTGCTTGCCTTCTTATCTATGTGGACACATCTTTCTGGGGCAGCCTTAACCATTTTTGTGTGCGTTTTTGTGTGTGTTTTGCTGCCACCTCCTGGTGGGACTCAGAGCTGATCCAAGAAGCCCTTGGAGA